ATTGGAAAGGAAATTGTTAAAAAGTGTAATGGCTTGCCTTTAGCTGCACAGTCTCTGGGAGGAATGTTGAGAAGAAAGCACGAAATCAAGGATTGGAATGATGTACTTGAAAGTGACATTTGGGAACTTCCCGAAAGTCAGTGTAAGATTATTCCAGCACTCAGAATTAGTTATAATTATCTCCCCTCACAATTAAAACGGTGCTTTGTTTATTGCTCATTGTACCCTAAGCCAAAGATTATGAATTTGAAAAAGATGAACTGATCCAGCTGTGGATGGCTGAAGATCTTGTAAAAGCAGCGAAAAAAGGAAAGACTTTAGAAGAAGTTGGTCAAGAGTATTTTGAGGATTTGGTTTCGAGATGCTTTTTTCAATCTTCAAGTCGGCGTGGGGGTGATTACTTTGTAATGCACGACTTCATTCATGATCTAGCAACATTTCTTGGTGGGGACTTCTATTTCAGAACAGATGAACTTGGGAAAGAAACCAATATAGACAGAAAGACTCGGCATTTGTCATTAACAAGATTCAGTGATCCAGTCTCGGATATTGAAGCTTTTGACACAGTAAAATTTCCTAGAACTTTCTTGCTAATCGATTATAAAGATTCCCCATTCAACAACGATAAGGCACCGAGTATTATAGTGTCAAGGCTTAAGTACTTGAGAGTTTTATCGCTTTGGAAATTCCGAAGTCAACTTGCTCTGCCTGATTCCGTTGGTGAATTGATACATTTGCGTTATCTAAATCTCTCTCGTACAAGTATAGAAACTCTGCCGGAGTCACTGTGTAATCTGTGCAATCTACAGACTTTGAAGTTGTCTTATTGCTCTGAGCTGACTAAGTTGCCTAGTTCCATGCAAAATCTTGTAAACTTGCGTCATCTTGAAATTGTTGATACTCCCATAAAAGAGATGCCTAAAAGAATGGGGAAACTGAATCAATTACGCACCTTGGATTGTTATGTTGTGGGCAAGCATATAGAGAATAGCATCAAAGAACTGGGAGGACTTCAAAATCTCCATGGTAGGTTTTATATTAAGAAATTAGAGAATGTTACCAAAGGCGAAGAAGCATTAGAGGCCAGGATAATGGATAAGAATCATATTAGCCATCTACACTTGGTATGGTCTATAGCTAATGACAATAGCATCGACTTCCAAGTTGAGTTAGATGTACTCAGCAAGTTAGAACCTCACCAAGATCTGGAAGCGTTGTCCATAATCCGTTATAAAGGAACCAGATTTCCGGAATGGGTGGGGAATTTTTCCTACCTCTACATGACAAGTATAGGTTTATATAATTGTAACAACTGTTGCATGCTTCCTTCACTTGGGCAACTACCGTCTCTCAGGAACCTTCGTATTTCAAACATGAACTCGGTGAAGACTATTGATGCAGGCTTTTATAAGAAGGATGATTGTTCATCTGTGACTCCCTTTCCATCCCTTGAATATCTACTCATTTATAATATGCCTGGTTGGGAGGTGTGGAATTCTTTTGATTCAGAAGCTTTTCCTGTGCTCAAGAATCTGTGTATAGAAAACTGCCCCAAACTAAAGGGAGATCTGCCAAATCACCTTCCTGCTCTGCAAACACTCGGGATTAGAAATTGCGAGCTTCTTGTCTCTTCTGTCCCAGGGCCTCTCAGCCTTCGGACAGTAGAGATACATAAATGCAAGAAAGTAGCGTTTCGTGAGTTTCCTCTTTTGGTGAAAAGTATAGAAGCGGAAGGAGGCCCAATGGTGGAGTCCATGATGGAGGCCATATCTAACATCCAACCTACTTGCCTTCAAACTTTGAAATTACAAAATTGTTCGTCAGACATATCTTTTAGAGGTGGTCTTCCTACGTCTTTGAAAACTCTTGATATCAGAGGTATAAACAAACTGAAATTCCCGTTGCAACACAAACACGAATTACTGGAATCACTTTTAATAATTAATAGTTGTGATTCGCTCACGTCCCTTCCATTGGCTATCTTCCCAAATCTCACTAGTCTTCAAATCACAAACTGTGAAAATATGGAATCACTTTTGGTCTCAGGGTCAGAGATTTCGAAGAGACTGAACACTTTTGCGATTGACCACTGTCCCAACTTTGTATCATTCCCGGGAGAAGGATTGTGTATGCCCAATTTGACTCGTTTCAATGTTTATAATTGTGAAAACTTGAAGTCGTTGCCAGATCAGATGGGAACTCTTGTTCCAAAGATGGAATATCTTAAAATATCCAACTGTCAACAAATTGAGTCATTCCCTGGAGGAGGTATGCCACCTAACTTGAAAACAGTTGAGATCAGAAATTGTGAGAAACTATTAAGGGGCCTAGGATGGAAATCGATGGACATGGTTACCTCTCTCATTGTGTGCGGTCCATGTGATGGCATCAAATCCTTCACAAAGGAGAGTTTGCTGCCTCCCTCCCTTGTGTCTCTGGATCTAATTGATTTGTCTAGTCTGGAAACGTTGGATTGCAAGGGCCTTCTCCATCTCACATCACTCCAACAATTAAACATTGAATGGTGTCAAAAGCTGGAGAATATTGCGGGAGAAAAGCTGCCTCTCTCTCTAATAAAATTAACGATATATGGATGTCCCTTGCTGAAACAACGATGCCACAAAAAGGACCGTCAAATTTGGCCTAAAATCTGCCATGTCCGTGGGATAAAGATTGCCGGTAGATATATTTAAAGAGCATGGATGATGAGAAGGTAATTCTCCTTCTTTCACTTACATCATCAACCTCCAACCATGAAAAACTATTTCTTATTTCTTATATGGCTTGGTATTGTGCAGAACACTGAAAATGTTTCATACTCTTTAACTGCTACACATATCTGAAGTGTTGTTTTTCTCATTGTAGATGAAGATGGCAGACTGGCTGATATAAGGGGAGAGGGGGCAATGAAAAATCGAAGAGAATAGCACTGATCAATGACAGTGTCAAGAGAATAGCACCGAAAAAACATCAGCATGCAGGAACTAAGTCATGAGGGCTGGGATAGGTAATAACTAAAAGTCGCAGAGATCATCCCAGCGTTACAGCTCCTATTTTGCATATAACACCCACGTATACTGAACAATAACTGAAAAGTTATGTCATGCTTCACACTATTGCTCTGCTATCTGTTTCTACATATTTGAAGTTTTACCTTTTTTTATGAATATTATGTTCCAGCAAACTATATACTTCCCATTCTGTGATTATCTTTTCAAAAATGGATTTAGAACTAATTCTAAGGTGAGATTTATATTTATGTATAACCTTAGATACCATTTTGAAAAGTCTGAACTTGTTATTTACTCAATTATGCAAGGTGATATTTGTACGAATTTATATATTATAAATAGTAATGTAGATCTCCAATACTATCTCTAATGTGTATGCTGAGTGAAATCCATTTTTGACTAAATCTTGTTGCCAGTTTTCAAAAGGAAATTGAAGTAGAGGAATCATCATTTTCACAAAGCTTTTGGTGCTCCATATCAGAGTGGAGGTGGTGGTTTAATCAGACTTTCATCAAATTCACTTAGAAACAAACATCAAACTTCCAAAAGAAACGGTATTTATTTTGTTGGGTCCACGACAGAATGTATGTTTTGTTTCCCGTTTGCAAGACACCAAACAAAAGTTTATGATTTTAGAATCTGAAAATAGCGAAGTACGTATATGTTGTGAGTGAAAACCTCCCAAAACACCCAAACACTCTGCTTAAAATTTGAAGAACTGAAACTCTAAATTCTGGGGAACACACTGCACTAATGAAGTATTTAAACTTCACAATTTTCAGTACGGACAATTACTTATTGTCTTTCCTTGGCTTTGCTGTTACCTTACAGGAAAAAAAGGTAAAAAACATTGCTCCTAATTAATGTCATGCCAATGTTCGATTAAATTTCAGAAAATCACTTTCAAAATTCAAAAACACGTAAATATCTGTTTAAGTAATCACGTCAGTCAATAAGGTCGATAATTCACTTATTGGTCATGTCGACATTTAGCCGTTAACAATTTAGACGTCGTCGGCAAAAAAGATCAAATTGAACATAAATTATAAATTTAGGGATTACATTGAACATTCGAAAAAAAATAAGTCTCACATTTAACAAAGTTGACGAACATAGAGACCAAATATGATATTAAGTCAAACTTTATTTAGTCTATTATGGATTTTGAATAATTATGGATTAAGTTATAATTATCTTTCAATTTAAATTACTTTTACATTACTATAGTGATTTTGAGAATGAAATGTTTTAATGATATATATTTTAGCACTTTAGTAAAATTTTGTCACGTCTTTAGTCGCAATTAATAAATTATTGTATTTAGGATATTAGAAATTGATGAGAAAATCTCACAATATATGCACTCTGATATTTTTCTGAAATTGAGTCTTACTATTCATTGATAATTGAAAACTTTAAATAGTGGAGATACTTACAATATTACGAAAATAAAACTAAAATCTAAAAATAAAATATCAACTATCTTAAAAATAAAATATGCTTAATCTAATATAAAATAATATTGTACCTAGATAAATCGAAAATTATAACTACGTATCCCTATTTTATCTCTATCAAATCAAACTAAATATTACTAGACCCAACAAACAAATAAAATAATATTTAAACAAAATTATTAATAAAACCCTAAAATTTAAGTTTATCCCAACAAACTCCCCTATAAACTTAAATCCTTAATTCCTTTGTTCGACTTTTCATGTGCATCATCCCACTTCGGGTTTGCTTCTTTCAATCAGAGTTGACTTCTTCTTTTTCCTTATGGCGCTCCTATCATTGGTTGACCTCTTTAATGCTTTGACTGACTTTGTTATGTCTGACTTCTCAATAACCTTGACTAACTCGTTTTTTACCTTAGACGATTTCTCAACAATCTTGGCCGACATCTTCATCGGGTTCTTCTCAACATCTTTATCTTCATCTTCCTTTTCGTCTGGTTGAAGAACATTATATGCTTTCTCTTCTTTTTCAAGAGTCGCCTTCTTCAGCTCCTCAAGCTCAACCCTTAGTTTTATTCATAATTTCATTAGCTTCATCTAGAAGTCCTCCCTATCCGTTGAATCTCTTCATCTTTTTGTTTGAAGTTCTTTCTCCATGTGTTTCCTTCTCACAATTGTTGCTCCTTTACTAAGCGCACTTCATCCATTGTTGGGATTGGGCTCTCCATGTCCATTGCATCCAAGCTATTTGCCATCATCAGGATTCCACACTCTTCTTCAAAATCTTCAGTAACAAGATTCGTCTCCCCTTTTGTCTCGGACTTGCAATACTTTGCAATATGACCAACCTTGCCACAATTGTAGCACTTGCTTGAGCTACACTCGTTTTCATAGTGGCCATACTTACCATACTTAAAACACTCAACTCCTGATCGATCACCTCGGCCTTTTCCTTGTCCTCGGTCACCTCATCCTCTGTCGCTAGGACCTCGACTCTGAGTAATCCGAGATTTATTCGAGTCAAAATGTATCTGTAGTGTTTAATCGTCGGGTTCCCTCCTTTTCTTTTTCTTCCTCAATTTGTGGGCTTTTAATGACCCAGCTAACTCCTCCACGGTGAGAGTTGACAAATCCTTTCTCTCTTCAATATGATCACGATACTTTCAAAGTCATCCGTCAAATTTCTCAAGATCTTTTCCGCAACCCGGTTCGGAGGAACCTCTTCTCCGTTCATTCCGAGTTGGTTAGGCATCTTCTGCACTCGACCTATAAACTCGGCAACTCCCTCATTTTTATTCATCTCCATATGTTCAAACTCTCTTCTAAGAGCTTGTACTCAGACCTGCTTCACGCGGGTATCTCCTTTGTATGCCACCTTCAAAATTTCTCATGCTTCTTTTGCTGACTTTGCATTAGCTATTTTCTAGAATCCAGATTCATCCACTACATTATACAGAAAGTACAAAGCCGATATGTCTTTCACTCTTATCTTTGTCAATGCAGCAGTCTGATCCACTGTCTGATGCTCATCATCCGCAGGTTCATTCTACTCGTCCTCCACTATGTCCCATACATCTTGGGATCCAAGAAGAACCTTCATCTGCAAAGACCAATTGTCGTAATTGGTATTTTTCGACAGTTGTAGCACATTTATCCCATTGACTACCTTTGTCATCTCTCACAAAAAAATCAAGCACTCATTTTTTCTCTCAGGGTGTTTGACTCTCTCCTCTTTCTCTCTCTTGGTACTCAAAGCATAAAGCTCTGATACCACTGATAGGTCTATCAAGGAGGTGGTTCCCTATGGGTTACATAAACACCAATAACATCTGAGCCAACTATATAAGGGATCGACATCACTCTTTACCCAAAACCTTAAGGCAATGGGTTAATGGGTCTTTCATCATTATATACTACTATACTTTCTAATTTTTTCGACTCACACTTGGATTCCCAACAATCTCCCCCTCAAGGGTGAGTCCCTTCCACATAGGGACACTCCCCCTCCAACGGAAACATTTCCAACCAACCACAATCACGAGTAACTCTTTCCAACCGTCGTATCTTAACGGAACTCGCTTACCTGAATACCTTTTGGTATGAAGACTTTCGGTATAGGGATCATTATACTCGTGTGAGCCGGTCACCAAGACAAACCATCGGCTCTGATACTACTGTTGAGAAAATCTCACAATATACGCACTCTGATAATTTTTTGAAATTGAGTCTTACTATTCATTGATAATTGAAGGCTTTAAATAGTCGTGATACTTACAATATTACGGAAATAAAACTAAAATCTGAAAATAAAATATCAACTATCTTAAAAATAAAATATGTTTAATCTATCATAAAATAATATTGTACCTAGATATACCAAAAATTATAACTACGTATCCCTATTTTATCTCTATCAAATCAAACTAAATATTACTAGACCCAAAAAACAAATAAAATAATATCTAAACAAAATTATTAATAAAACCCTAAAATTTAAGTTTATCCCAACAAAAATAACGCTAGCAAAATGAAGCAGTAAACCCACAAAATAAATAAATACAGATAAGAGAGGTTTAAAACATCTATAATATAATCACTAAATTGAAGAGATGTTAAAACCCTCTTCAAAAAACCGTTCACAATATAAATCAGATATCAGAAATCGTCTTAAACCTCCATAAAAAGGATGTGACAAATATATTTTGGAGGTTTAAAAGACCCCGCAAATTAATTTGTAGAAGATAAAAACATTATTACAAAAACAATGTACAACGTCGAATATTTTGGGCTTTTAACGGTGAATTTGTGATCGACGTCATATCGGGAGACGTAACTTTGACGTTGAATACTAGAACCCATCGTTACTTGTTTATATACACGTCAAGTAGTAAAGAGAACGACATATAATATGTGAATAAATAGTTATATTTAAAGGAAGATTCAACATCACTCTAAGGGAACGAGACGTAAAGTTGATGTCCAATAGAAAAAGGTTGGACGTAAAGTTGACGTCGAATTATGTAAAATGACGTTACTTGTTGTTTATAGACACATCGAGTGATAAGTAGTTCGATGTCTAATATGTGAATAAATAGTTATATTTAAAGGAATATTTGGCATCCTCTGTTTGGGGACTAGACATAAAGTTGACGTCGAATTGTATGGGCGTCGACGTTTACCCTCGCTAAGCCAGAGAAAGCTCGTCCAGCATTGCGTATGGTAATCCACTGTAGATGGTTTAATGTCGATTAGTGTATAGGTTGACGTTAATATATGTATATTAACGTCGAGCAGTGTATAGTTCGACGTCAACTCTAGTGTTCTTTTTTAAATATGATTTGTTTTTGCTCATTTTACCATACCTAAAATACAGAAACTAATTTTTCAATTTATATATTCACAAAATTCATCAATTCACAGGTAAAACCATGCTATCATCAATCCATCAATTCCAATTCAAAAGTAAAACTGAAAGACTAAAGCAAATGCTATCATCAAAACAAAAAGAATATATTCACATAATTCATCAATAAAAGTTTATTTAAATCATGCTATTATCAATTCATAAGTAAAACTAAAAGCTAAACATATGCGATCATCAAAACAAAAAA